AGTGTTTAAAATGTTTTCCTATCCAAACATTTAGTGCTTACTTGTGAGTATATGTCCTTTTCATTCACTATTTTCCCTACTTTCCCTCAGAAAATGTAAAAAATAAAATAAAATAAAAAACAAAAACCAAAACAAAAACAAAACAAAACAAAACAAAACAAAACACTAAAGGAAGCATTTCCAGAACTGAGTAGATTTGGAGTCTGTCTCTGAGAACCTTTGTCCTGGCCCAGTGATGCTTATGAGAGCCTACTTATTTGCCCACCTTATTGATTTTATTTCCTTGTTTATGAGCTAACTCCATGCAATTTGCTTCTTCTACTTCAGCCTTTTTAAATTCTTTTTTCACTTGTGCAATGTGCACATTACCTTATTATGAATTTTATTTTCCTCTAATGCTTTGTAATGGATAATTCAGTACATCATTTTATCAGCATATAACCCTCTCTAGACTCTCCCAGCTGTTCTCATCTTTCACAAGATACTTAACCTATAACAGCTTGCACTTCTATAGTGCTTATTCTATGTCAAGCATCCTTCTTAGCTATTTACATATGTTAACTCACTTAATCACTATAATCTTATGAAAGATATATTCTTATTTCCATTTTACAGATGGGAAGATTTAAGCACATAGGAGTTATGTAGTTTGTCTAATGTCATACAGCTGCTAAGTGGTAGGATTAAGCCAGGGGTGTCCAATCTTTTGGTTTCCCTTGGCCGCATTGGAAGAAGAAGAATTGTCTTGGGCCACACAGAAAATACACTAACGATAGCTGATAAGCTTAAAAATTATTGCAAAAAAAATCTATAAGGTTTTAAGAAAGTTTAAGAATTTGTGTTGGGCTGCATTCAAAACCATCCTGGGCTGCATGGGGCCTGTGGGTCGTGGGTTGGACAAGCTTGGATTAAACCAAGTCTGGCTGGATCCAGACTCTTCGTATTCTTAATTATAAACCCTGATGCATCTCTGAACTTCAGTTTTCTCATTAGTTAAATGAGTGGATTGTCATTGATGACACCTAAACTTCTGCCAAGTCCTAAATAAATATGTTGATGGTGGTGAATGCATATATGGAAATCTCATACCTGCTTAATTAGAAAATAACGGTTTTATTGACAATTTAATGTAGATATGGTGATTTTCCACATATCTGTTTCAAGATTAATAATTTACTTGTTTATCCCTATCCTCTCCATCATCTATAACACAAACATAGACCTCATGGGTGTTCAGTATCCATTTGGTTTGTTTATTTAGTGTTTGATTGCTTGACAAGTGAAATTGGCACCGCAAGTGGTTTTCATCCCTGACAGAGAGGCGACATCTGGAAACTGGAAACTGGAACCTGAAACCACACCAGGCTCCTCCTTGTTTACAACTGAAAACAACAATGTTCTGCTTTAGAAGCATCTTGGAAACTTTAGATATTGCTGTCTACATCCCAGGGTCACCTGGATGGAGGGTGGAGCGAGGATGAAAGGCAGATAGATGGCAAACAAGAACAGGTTGGAAACATTGAAGCACACATCTTTTTGTGCTTTTTAATTTTTGAGCTTTGTGAATATATCATCTGTTTAAGAAGTTAAATAAATCGTTGAAAAAGTGTTTGTGGTCTTAGATGAGGTCCAATAGCAGTACAGCTGAGCAACATTATGGTCAAGGTCCTTCTCCACCCTGTCAAAAGGCCACCCTCCGCTGAACTGTCGGTCATGTGAGTTAAATTAGTTCAAATCACTCAAACAATGAGATTATGGACACACAACACCTGTGCAGGAAATCGTGTTAAAAATTAAAGTAACAGTGAAATAATTTAATGGAGAAAGAGAATAAAGATAGACACTTGTCAGAAAGCAATTCTGCACTAAAATTCAATAGAATGGATAGTAAGTTCAATAGTATTAATACAGGAGAGAAATCAGGATAGGCCAGAGCAATTTTCTGGACCACTTTGTGACTTTTTTTTTTTTTTTCATATCCCCATTCCCAGGGCTAAAAGAGTATCAACTATGGATTCTTAAAGATATTTATTTAAAAAATGAGTCTTGGTTAGTCCTTGCTTAAGTGTTGCAATTAAATTTAAGGAAAAAGTGACCTGTAACCAACATGTGCAGTGAAAAATGTGTGTATTAACAAGTAAACAGAGTGGTGCTGGTGCATACCAGGGCAAGTCAGGGTGATACAATGCAAATGGCAAACACAGGAATTATCATGGTGATGTCTGCTCAAGTCAGTGTTAACAGTGAAGTACCAATATGTTGGGATTTATAACCACTTCTCTATGGTTGAATGAACAACCAAGGATTTTTCTTTTTTTAATGATAGGGTGACTATGGAAATAATTCAAGGAAATAATCACTGCCCTAAAAATCACTAAGGTTCTTTCTTCTTTCCTTTGATTGGGATTAAAAAAAAAAGTGTAATTTATCCTCTTAACAAATTACTAAGTGTGCAGGACTCTTGTTAATAGTATGATTGTTGTCCTTTAGGTACCCTTCTTGAAAATCATTTGACCGTTTGTGCCTTGCTTTATTTCTGGGCTCCTTATTCTGTTCCGTTGATCTGAATTTCTGTATTTAAGTCAGTACTTTACTATGTTGATTACTGTAGACTTGTAATAGGTTTTGAAATCAGAAAGAGCTTGACCTCTAGCTTTTCTCTTCTCTCTTAAGATATTTTGTCTGGCCGGGTTTGATGGCTCACGTCTATAGTGTCAGTGCATTGGGAGGCCAAGGTGGGAGGATTGCTTAAGCTCAGGAATCCGAGACTAGCCTTGGCAATGAAGCAAAACCTGCTCTCTACAAAAAATTTTAAAAATTAACTGGACATAGTGGTGTGTACCTGTTTTCTCAGCTACTGTGGAGTCTGAGGTGGGAGAATCCTTTGAGCCCAGGAGTTCGAAGCTGTAATGAGCTGTGATCCTGCCACTGCACTCCAGTGTGAGTGACAGAGTGAGACCCAGTCTCTCTCTCTCTCTCTCTCTCTCTCTCTCTCACACACACACACACACACACACAGAGAGAGAGAGAGAGAGAGAGAGACAGAGAGAGAGAGAGAGACACACACACGCACACAAGGTATTTCAACTGTTCTGGCTATTCAGGTCCAGGATTTTTTTTCTATTCCTGAAAAAAATGATATTAATAGTTTGATAAGGATTGCATTGAATCTGTTGATTGCTTTAGATAGTTTGGACATCTTAATATTAAGCATTCCAATTCGGAAACACCGGATGACTTTCTGTTTATCTGGATCTTATTTAATCAGCATGTAAGTTTTCAGTATATAAGTCTTTCACCTCCTTGGGTAAGGTTATTACTAAGTATTTATTCTTTTTGTTGATATTATAAATAACATTACTTTATTTTTTATTTTTTTATTATGTCTGGAAGCACAATTGTTTTTTTATGTTAACTTTGTATCCTACAACTTTTTGCTTATTCTAACTTTTTTTTTTTTTTTTGCTATGGAGTCTTTAGGGTTTTCTACATATAAAATCACGCCATGCCATCTGCAAACAGATATTTTTTTTTTCTACTTTTTGCTGGCTTTGATGCTTTTTATTTATTTTTCTTACTTCATTGCTCTAGCTGGGGCTTCCAATACTATCTTGAATAGAAGTGGCAAGAGTGGTCATTAATGCCTTGTTGCTGATCATCTGGGAAGAGCTCTTAGTTTTTCACCTTTGAGTATGTTGTGAGCTCTGAGTTTTTCACATGTGGCCTTTATTATGTTGAAGTAATTTTTCCATTCCTAGTTTGTTGAGCGTTTTTTATCATGAACGGGTGTTGAATTTAGTAAAATACTTTTTTCTCCGCTGCATCTATTGAGAAGATTACTTACTCTTCACTCTACTAATATGGTATATCACATTGATTTGTTTTTGTATGTCGAACCATCACTGCAACCCAGGAATAGATCCCTCTTGGTCATGATGTATGATACTATTAATGTGCTGTTGAATTTGGTTTGTTAGTATTTTGTTCTGAAGTTTTGCATCTGTGTTCACTAGGGATATTGGCCTGTAGTTTTTTTGTAGTCCTTGTCTCGTGTTGGTATCACTACCACCATAATGCTGGCCTCATAAAATGAGTACGGAAATGTTCTCTTCTCTTCTATTTGTTAGAAAATTCTGAGAAGAATTAGCATTATTTTTTCTGTAAATGTTTGGTGTAATTCTCCAGTGCAACCATCTCATCTGGGTTTTTCTTTTTTGGGAGGCTTTTAATTACTGATTTAATCTCCTTAATAGTTAATGATCTGTTCAGATATTATATTCATGATTCAGTTGATAGGTTGTATGTTTCTAGGAATTTATCTGCTTTTTCTGGATTATCCAAGTTATTGATGTATAATTATTCATAGTAGGTTCTTTTGATCCCCTCAAAGTCACTAAGATTCTAACTGGGAAAATATTTACTTTTTTGTATCTCTTTTTAAGATAGCTTTCTTGTTCCTTCCCCCACACACCTTCTCTCATTGGTAAAAACCAAATTCACTACATTATGGAAATTCAGTCATGAAAACATGGGGAGAGATGGTGCCTTCCTCATGACCCTTTTTCTTTAGACAATTTATGATCTCTGAGAGCCCTGTGTAATTTATACAGCCTGAGAGGCCTCCTAATAGTTTTAAACTCAAAGACTTTAGAAGTAATTTAGTAATAGTGTTAAAAAAATCCATGTTATTTTTATCTTAAAATATATAAATCCTTCCTGGTTAGTCTATGTTTTAATATCTTGGAAGAAAGGACTTTGTTGCCTTTAAAGCAGAAATTCCATAGTTGAGTGACTCAACAAAAGTTCTCCTTGTTCAGGCTCTCCATAGGACACAGCAATGACCAACTCATGGCCCAAGTGATTAACTGCATTAGGGCCAGAATCTTTTCTGGTCTGAGTGGCAGTAAGTACATCATCACGAGAGGCTGTCTCTTTTAGCAGATCTTGTCTCTTCTGTCTTTGAAGACACAGGCCCTCTACCTCATGAACCAAACAATCAGAAAGCTTTGAAGGATTTTTAATTTAAAAAGCATAACACAAGATAAATCCAGATGAGCAGCCTCTTCTTTTTAACCATGTCAAGTTTGTTTTTTCCTCCTTGCGTTTAGTTTTTTACTGAGACAAGCACACAAGATAGCTTTAAGATTGCTGTAAGCTATTTGTTTTCTGGTTGCTTTTTTTCATGATGAAGGAAGAACCCATTGAACATTCCTATTCTCTCAGCATAAGGCTCCTGGCTTCATTCTGTGAGGTCTGCCACCCAGGAGACACTGAAGTGTATAGACTGTGCCATGGTATCTAATGAGATTCCTAAATTAAATATAAGAAGATTTAACATCACCCTCCCAAAGCATTCATCAATGGGACATACTAGATAATGGCCATGTGACTTCTAATATTTTCTAATATGACTTTGACTCATCATTATAAACAGTTTAACATTAAGAGAAAGCCATAGGGCTCTGGTTCTTAGAAAACAAAAATATACAATATTTTAAGCTAATGCAATTAAAAAGAATAATAAAATAATAATAATAAAATAATATTGATATTCAAGTGTTTTGGTTGCATTAAGATCTTATTGGATGTTTGTTTATGAGATGGGATCTGTCCAGGTGTGGTGAAAGAGAACACACAGACACAGCAAGGCTGTTTTTTGTTTTGTTTTGCTTTTTTTTTTTGAGAGGGAGTCTGGCTCTATCGCCCAGGCTGGAGTGCGGTGGCGCAATCTCGGCTCACTGCAAGCTCTGCCTCCCGGATTCAAGCCATTCTCCTGTCTCAGCCTCCCGTGTAGCTGGGACTACAGGCGTCCGCCACCATGCCTGGCTAATTTTTTGTGTGTTTAGTAGAGACGTGGTTTCACCATGTTTGCCAGGATGGTCTCGATCTCCTGACCTCGTGATCCTCCCATCTCGGCCTCCCAGGGTGCTGGGATTACCCGTGTGAGCGACCGCACCCAGCAGTAAGGCTGTTTTCTAAGAATACGAGTTAATTTATTTACGTGGTTTCTCTGAAGAGATATATTCTAGCGTTTTTCAGGATACGTTTATGCATTATTTAACTTGGAGGAGGAAGGGCACTGAAGATTCTTGTATATAGAAAATTCCATGACTCTATGCAAAACTATTAATTCTGTAGATAAAATAGCATGAAAATAATGCTATCGAAGACTAGTTAGGCCAGTTTATGAGGATATGATTCATGGATATTCACTCTCTTAAAATACACACACATACATATACACAAATATTACTGTTTTTTAAACAGCCCTGACCACTTTAATCCATGCTTTTTATATATAATTTATTAAGGGACCACAAAGTTTTAAATCATTTTACAATACCTCTTCTGAAATGGAAATCTGGGTATAAGCATTTTAATATTTTAAATAGAAATAGAAATCAGAAAAATGCCATAGTTTCTTAAATAGCAAAGATATTTATAAGACAGAGATGACCTAATGCTTCAAATATAATTCTCACATATTGTTACTCTGTTTCAGTATATCAAGTATAGGTACTCTAAAGATTTTAATTATCTCACTCTCTTCATCCTGATCAAATAGTAAGTTTAAAATGCATCATTGTAATGGGATTTAGAAAGGATATAATGTCAACAGATCTTTTATAATTACCACTGCATCCCTTGTCACACTGTCTGTTGCACCTCTACACTGGAGATCGGTGTCTGTCTTGACTTGTGTACATGACACATATAATCACTCAGAGTGCACCTGCTTTAAATGAGAAAGTTTCAAAATGTTATTTTGTTGTCATGAGAAGAAGCAGAATTACTCAATAAAGATGAAGTAGGAATAGCACAAACACAGTCCAGGTAAATAGCTTTAACTTGATTGTAAAGCGAAGAGGCAAAAAGAAAAAAAAAAGAGTATGTCAATTCATCTGATTGCAGCATAATTCTAAGAATTCTGCCTTACACATATTCTGATTCTGTGATATAGTTCTAAGAATTCTTCTCTATATAGCTCCTTATTCTGTGTCGTAGAATCAGAAAGTACATCTACACAGTTTTTTAAGAGTTGTTTTCTAGAACTTACTTTCCCTTTGAGGTAAACAATTGAATCAAACAGATGGTGTCTAACTTATTCCCAGTGCAATGCTAAGTAAGGAAAATACAGAATTTCAATATAATAATTCTGCTCAAAATACAATAATTTTGAGAAAACAAGAATAAAATGTATCAAATACCTTCGTATATTTTTAAATTATTTCTTTTTGTGGAGGGACTTAATTATTTTACATTTTTAAGTGAGATCTTTGAAGTAATATTTGCAGGAAGTATAAGTTAACTGGGCAGAATTTTATCCAATTAGTGTGTTGATTTAGAACGGAAAAAAGGCAGATGAGAATAAAGGAGTTTTCCAGATTTCATGTGGTATAGTATAGTCCCAGAAATTATTCCCCAGGGTTCTTCTCTTTTGTTCTTCCAGGAGATACTACCCAACTTCTTTCTGTGTTTTCCATGTAAAATGTAAGTAGTAGAATACAAAAGCAATGACTCTTGGTTTACGAATTCATTTTACAGTAGATTCCCAGGGTTTGGGGAATGAGAAAGGGGTAAGGGGTGAAGGACTATATATTTTTCAAACTTAGTTATGAACAACATTTTATAATTTATTTTGATTAAAAAATTGAGAAGAGAGGCAGGTATGGCAGCTCACATCTGTAATCCCAGCACTTTGGGAGGACAAGGCAGGAGGATTCCTTGAGGCCAGGAGTTCAAGAACAGCCTGAGCAACCCTGGGAGGTTCTGCCTCTACCAAAAAATAAAAAATAAAATAAAATAATAATAATAATAATAAAACAGAGAGAAAGTAGAAAGTCTCATCATATATTATCACTGATGAAATGCATGGCTGCTGCATTTTGCATACAGTTGCCATACTTACACTACTGTGGACAAATGACACAGATTAAATTTCCACAAAATTTTTGTCCTCATTTTTTTCTCCTCTTGCTAAAAATAAGCAGTCTTCATTTTTTAAAGAAACTTGGCTATGATCTCCTCTTTAATCTTGGTAGAACCAACTGAGCTTCTTAATAAAAAATATATTAGTAAGATCAGAAGATGTAGTGTTAAAGCCATAATAATAAAAGAAGCATTGAAAATAATAATTACTAGTTCAGTGAAGAAAGGCCCATGTTAATCATCATGATAACTTTTTGGTGGGGTAAGAGGTTGTGGCAGGAAGATGGAAATGTGGATTTTGAGCTTTTAATTAAAACCAATTTCAGGACAATGCCTTTGTATATGCATGTTCACATCTTTAATCTACAATCAAAGCACCAGTACTTTAATGTATCTAGCTGATTCAGACTTAGTAATAACTCTTTAAAACCTTATTTTATTTTGTGTAACCTGAGTATTAATCTTATAACAAGGTTGTTGATCAAATGAGAGAATTCATAAAAATGCACTTTGAGAAGAGTTAAGTTTAAGCCATATGAAATTGCTAATAATCAACGATTTTTTACTTATGAAAGGCACTTTTATATGGTTTGATATAATACATAATGCTATGCAAATGTAATGCATTACTAATAAAACCAAAGGAAGCTAGAAACTGATTGAAAATATAAAGTGATAAACAAGGGAAGATAGTGCAAAAGATAAAAAAATTCATTTACTTGTGTTTATTTTGATGGAGATCCGAAAGACAACAAAAAAGAAAATGGTAAAAATATTTATTGATAGTAAATTCATGGCTATGCATAATTTAACAAACATGAGATTATGCATATTTAAGCCATTAATATATTTTATTTATTTATTTTTTTTGAGACAGGGTGTTGCTGTCACCCTGGCTTGAGTTGCAATGAGGTAGTCATAGCTCACTCCACCTTCAGTCCCCGCGGGGCTCAAGCCATTCTCGTGACTCAGCCTCCCATGTAGCTGGGACTATAGGCATGCACAGCCACCAATGGCTAATTTTTTACAATATATTTTTGTAAAGATGAGGTCACACTGTGTTTCCCAAACTGATCTCCAGCATCTGAGCTCAGGTGATTGTCTTTTTATTTTTCAGTTTGAAACCACTATATGTTATTGCCACAACTTTGGGATTATAAAAGTAACAAACAAAAATTTAAAACACATTTTTTTCAAGATTTGAAGAAACTCACTAATACTTTATCAATGTATTCTCTTCTGAGGTTTAACTTTTCCTTTTTTTTTTTCGCTTTTTCTTTCCCCCTCACAGTTTGTAGCTAAATTTCTCTCTCTCCCACGCGCGCACGCACACACACACACACTTATTACTTATGGTGTGTTAATATAATAGCCAGATGAAATTTTACATATTATATGTATATTTTACATATATATATATAGCCAAATGAAAGTATATGTGTATCCATATAATACCTATTTATCTACCCAAATTAAATTGAGTTATAATCATATATACACACACACATAAATGCACACACATACACATGTATCAGTAGGTTTGTAATGAATACATAGTTCCTGTTTACTGAGACACTGACTTACAAAGAGGAAAGTTTCTTAAAACCAAAATCTCAACTTTTCTCTGCGTTTGTGTAATGCTTGTCTTCTATAATTCTGGGTGTCACTCTAATGCTATGGCTTCTCTATCTCTTGGCTTTCCTAAGGAATTCGTTTGGTCTGATTTGGAATCACATATGTAACCACAAAGATATTATATCCATGTACTTAAATATTTAATTCCCAATTGTCTTGGCAAGCACATGTTGCTAGATGTAAGTCATTGTGCTATGTTTATGTGTTCTCCTATTCACTGTTTTCAGATGGATTCATTAAGCAATATAATTTAAATATATACTGCACAAAATCAAAAGTTTAAATAAAAATATCTAACCAAGTTTTTTGAAAAGTACAATTATTATTATTTAATCTGGATTCTCAATGCACACATGCAGAGGTAAGACTCAACATCTTTATAAAATTAAAAGAGTTAGCCATATAGTCTAGATAATTACAAGTTGTCATACTTCTGTATAGGTTGAAATTGCTTAATGATTTCAGAATTTTAAATATTGTACCAAAATCTCACATAATATGGAGCCACATTTGTACTTTAGATGCACTGTCAAAAAATAATACAGATTCTTTTTGAAATTGTGACATGCTGTTTACTCCAGCAGAAATCAGTTTATTCATTAGACATGATTGTCTTTCATATTTGACCTTCTGAAAGTCTCTATCAGATTTTTTTCTTCTATTAGAGTCATATAAAAGTTTATACAAAGACATTCAAGGCACTACAATTGCTTTAAATTTATGAAACCACATAATAAATCTTTGTATGCGTTTTATTCTCTTATGAAAGCATGTCAGTGCTCCTGCTACTTGTCTAGGAGAATATTCAGAAGTAACTCTAGAACACTGGTTGCAATTGTCTGTGCTTTGGAGTGCCAACTGAAGATCTTTGGCACTATTTTCATAAGTAGGAAAAACAAAAACAAAACCCCACCAACCTAAGTTGTGATAAAAATGTGACATGAACATTTTCAGTGGTACAGAGAAGTCTGTATCTTGATTCTTCATCTGTGACATCATTTATTGTATATCTAGAAAATGGCCATGTGTTCCAGTGGTCTAGAAGAGATGTTTGCCTGTCTTACTTGCAGACAATACTTGTATGATTTAGATAGGATAAAAGAACATTTAAGTGTATGAATAACTGAGAGATGGTGAGTTAGGAAAAGTTCTTAGAAATTGTAAACTTTAAGTCACAGGGATGTTTCAAGGAATCATCAGTGTTGGATTAGCAGGTCATTGAGAGAAAGGATATATATTATATTTAAGGAATGAAGGCAAAAATACCATACTTTATTTATCTGCAGGTCAACTATAACTTGTAAAATGTGATCATTATATACGTAAAACTCTTCCACCTATAATTCTTTTAGGTTATGTAGCCCCCTTACCAAGGTACACCTTTGTTTATGAATGTTTTCAAATTAAGATACGAACCTTTTTTTTTTTCTTTCTTTCTTTTTTTTATTTTGAGACGGAGTCTTGCTCTGTCGCCCAGGCTGGAGTGCAGTGGCCGGATCTCAGCTCACTGCAAGCTCTGCCTCCCGGGTTCACGCCATTCTCCTGCCTCAGCCTCCCAAGGAGCTCGGACTACAGGCGCCCGCCACCTCGCCCGGCTAGTGTTTTGTATTTTTTTTTTAGTAGAGACGGGGTTTCACCAGGTTAGCCAGGATGGTCTCGATCTCCTGACCTTGCGATCCGCCCATCTCGGCCTCCCAAAGTGCTGGGATTACAGGCTTGAGCCACCGCGCCCGGCCTTTTTTTTTTTTTTTTTTTTTTTTTTTTTTTTTTGAGATGGAGTCTCACTTTTTCGCCAGGCTAGAGTGCAGTGGCATGATCTGAGCTCACTGCAATCACTGCCTCTCGAGTTCAAGTGATTCCCCTGCCTCAGCCTCCTGAGTACCTGGGACTATAGGCGTGCACCACCACGTCTGGCTAATTTTTTTGTATTTTGGTAGAGACAGGGTTTCACCATGTTGGCCAGGATGGTCTCCATCTCCTGACCTCTTGATCCATCTGCCTAGTCCTCCCAAAGTGCTGGGATTACAGGCATGAGCCACATGCCCAGCCAAGATGCAAACACTTTTATTGAAGTTTTAGCTTATTTATTATGCTGATTAATTTCTGTGTTGTGTCAAGTAAGGTAAAATTGCTTTTAGAGAGTGTTCAGGAAATTGAATATATGTGTGGAACTCAGCCAGAAATTTCTCCTAATAATGCTACTTATTAGGCTTGTTTATGTTATAAGATGAATTTCTGGGAGTAAAATGTTTATTGGAGAGATAAACGTTTTTTAAGTATCAGGTGTTGGCTCTTTAAAAGACACTAAAGCTCAGTAATAAACATTCTCTGGTTCCCTCTCAAGTTTCAGAGAACTTCAAAATATTATTATTTTAGTCAGAAACTTCTCTATATTCCTCTCTGTGTATGTATATATGAAACAGATTTTGAAAGGTATGAAGCTGGTCCTTCAAATACTTTTGAAGGAATTAAATGATCCAATGTTTGTTAGTGGCTGAGAGTAACAACCAAAGCAACATGTTTACGATATTTAAAAAAAATGCTTGGAATTAGTTGGACCTCATGTTCTTTGTACTCAAGCCAACAGTTGATTTCAAAAGATTGCTTTATAATGTTTTGAAACTAAATTTATCAACCACAGAGAGAAAGAGGGAGTAATGAATTTATCTGAGGTATATATCCCTCTCTCAATGAGAATGTTACTCTTATTTATTTGAACGTGATTATATTGAAGAGGCATATACTAGTAGGTTCAGTGAAGAAATTGAAACTACTGCAAACCCATTCGAGTGAATAAACACAACAGTATTTTCTTATATAGAAAATTGACAGGTATGCCTGTTTTCATCATTGAAAGAACAGAATTTAGTAGATTATTTCTCCTTCAGAGAGCAATTTGGATTCAACTCATGAGAGGTGGTGAACTCAAACCATTGCCATCTGACAGTTGTTTAGCAATTACTATTAAACATGTCAGTGACCTTGATCTAGTTCTCTTAGACATGTGTTTATCACAATAAACTGTCATCCCCTCGTCTGACCCATGGATGTTTAAACTGATTATCCACAGAAGTAGTTGGGTTCTTTTAGGTGAGAATTAACATTCTTCTTATGTTTTCTGGAGCGTGACGGTATAGAAAAAAATCAAGTTTTATCTAAGGAATTTTAATAGCCTCAAAAATACTAAACCTCTGCTCTACATAATTATGAAGGGAAA